CCTATTTTAAAACTCCTAGATACGCCACTGGTCAGTTAAATTTCCAAATGCTTTATGATTCATTAGACATGGTAGCCTTTAATATTACCTCTTTGCTGAAGACGCACTGCGTTAACCATATAAAGAAGCCTTGCATCGAATTCAAGATAACGTAGGTGTATTCCATAATTGCTGAATTGTCGAATATGACAATGACGCCGAAGATCCACGAAAGTCCGACAGCTGGTGTAAGGAGCAATATACCACCAAGCATTGTTCTTATGAACAAAAATTAAAAAGTGTTTTAACGTTTATAATTCTTGTTTGTATGACGCTAACAATGTTGGACCTATTATAATTGTCAGTTTATGACACCGACCACAAGGACAACATTATCTAGAACATTATTCAGATTAACGATTGACAACGCTCACTTAAAGGCAGGCCTACTACTTACTGTACATGTTATTACAAGACATACATTGACAACTACAGTAGAACCCCTCCTTTGGGACACCCTTATTCAGGGGACGCCCCTATTAAGGGGACACTTTTCCGTGAAACGAGGAGCAATATATATTTTAACACTACGGCCGACCCCTATTTAGAGGACACCCTTATTAAGGGGACGGGGACGATTTCTGAAGTGTGCCAAATGGTCAAATAACCCCTTTTAAGGGGACTCTTAATTATTTTTATCATTGTATCACAAATACTGCAGTCTGAAAATAAGACAAATTTATTCAACTTCATATTTTAACGCCTTTTGAGAATAAACCAGAATTTACTCTACTGAATCCTTAGAATAAACGTCGGTATAGGCCTACTGAATACTGTGTTACTTCATATAAGCCAATCTTGTAAATTTTGACCCTCAACTATAGGGATTTCGTTTCCTTTGTTTTTCGTATACTTTCATAGAGGATTCTAATACATAGGCCTACCATAACATGCACTATTAATTCTAAGTCGTTACTATTCATGCTACATTCATCCAATAGAATTAAAGCTCAATATTTGAAATAAAAAAGGAATATTTTATTATCTATATCATTTAACTGCGTCATTTCTTTGTAGATAATAACCGCTTCTTTTCCCCTTGTCATTGGGTCCTCATGTTTTAAGTGTTGCTACTGGTAAACATTGCAGGAGTAGGAAACCCCACCAGGTACCTATTTATGTTCCTGTGGCGAGAACCCATGCAGTGATGGTTTGATGAAATTGGAAGGGAATAACATGTACCATACAAGCCTGTATGGTCTACCTACGAGCCCGACAAGACAGGTGATTACAAGTGCACATTACAGGAGAAGCGCATGCAGATAAAGCAACTTGCTCAAGGACACAATCGAAATGTACAGTACAGCGAGGCACTGAAACCCCGACCTCGAGGTTGGGAAACCATACCTTTCCCGCTGTAGAAAACCGCTTCTACATATAAAACTATTGTTTTAATTACATTTGTGCTGATTTCATATTATAAATTAATTGTATTTGCATTGCAAATTGTTGCCATAAATTAGTTCTAATTCTACTTATTTGTGATTCCTTATGTCAATAAAATTAAACAGAATGTATGTCATCGTTGTATGAAAACATGCCAAAAACCCCTATTAAGGTTCTCCCAGGGGACACCCCTACGGGTGATGACATTAATATTTTACAATGAAAATGATGTTTTCTTTTCTGCTAATAAAATAAATATATAAATTTTAAGTCTCATAAAATGTTGATATCCATCACCAATTGAATATAGTACATATTCACTGCCATTACACTGTTTTTAGCTCCGATGTTGAGAAGTTCTAAGTTCCTGCTGAATGAATAGATCTTTTTGTGTATGGGCGGCTATTAAGGCCACTAGAATGTCATCAGAGCTTTCAAGATTACTACGAGAAATAGTTGAATTATTCTGTAATAGCATTAGCAAACTAATATGGATTTCATTTATCTTTACCTGATTCTTTTGAGTTTTTGCATTTCTTCTTCAGATTGGTTCGGCAGTTGTGACTTCTTGAACGCAACGTAGCCAATAACCAGCAACTGTACGAGTACAATCTGTGGAAGTAAAAATGTTGTATAGCATTCTCCTTCATTAGACTTCAAAGATTATGTTTTTGAGGAAACTCCTGAAACATTCATCTAAATATTGATTATTGTATTGTGCTTGAAACAAAAAGCTAAACATTTACCAAAACTATAAGGCACACTGGAGAAATGAAAGCCCAGATGGCACCAGAACGAGTGTCCAACCAGCACCTACAATTGGTTAAAATACAAAATTAATCATTCGGATGGTATAAATGCCTTCAATAAAAGTAAGTAAAAATGACAATAACCAAAATTTATCAAACGATAGTTAAGTTGTTTGAGTAATGCTATTGAAAATGAATGTGTAATCATTATGATATTCAATTTCTCAAGAGAGATCAGCAAAAAAAAACGTACGGTGTTTTGTGGAACTCGGTGGAACTATGCTTTATCGTCTTCATTAATTCAGCTGGCTGTTACATTTTTCATTCATTTATATTCTATTGAAAAAGTGAAATAAATATACTTACCTATCAGATGCGTACTTTCCACTTGTAATACCGATAGTTGCCACGACAACAATGATTGGTCCAATCCAACCACAATACCGACTGTACGAGAATCGCTTTTCATGATTAACAAACGGATGATTAATCTTCATGTATATATCTGTTGACATGATCAGCATCCACGAAAACGCTGCCAAAAAACTGAAGTGCAGGCATCCAGCAAGAAGACTGCAGGCGATCTGAAGACATTTTGATCATTATTGACTGATTTATTATCAGCTTGTAAATCCTATATTAAACTTCGTGTTGTATGTAATTGCATTATGTGTTAGTCGTGAAGATCCATAAATCGCTACAATTATTATTATCATCATACCAACACTATAATCACCATCATCATCTTCATCACACCCTCACAATCAATATCACTATCATCGTCATTATCATCATAATCAACATCATCATTATTACTGTTAATTATCAATAGGTCTATTATGATTTAACGATATTTAAAGGTAAAGGAAAGAGAATAACCCATAACTCACAGCGCTTAATTGCGTGTGGACGTGGTCCGTGACTACTGTAACGCAGACATGTCCACAACCTTCCACAACTACAGGGGCTTAAAAAATGAACCATATCATCGGGGTAACCCCTACTCTGCTTTCTTTATAGTGCACATGAGCCAGATGTGTACACTGGACCTCAATTTTAAGCCTTTATCCCAGAGGACTTGGTTCTACGAACTCGAACCAACGTCGATGTTAAGGGTAGTTAGCGGCACCCCTGCCTTATACCGCTCGGCCACTCGACTCGCCAAATTATTATTATAGCCAATATTTATATTATAATTATTATCTTCTCAATTGAGAAGACATTTATATACCCATACCGGTATATTGTTCAAATCAATTTCCAGCAACAGAAAGAAGAAATTAGCACAGAGTAGAGCAATGACCAAGTGTCGCAAATTTCTGTATCGATGCGATTTTCTTAAATCTCTGAAATCAAAATTAAACACAACACAAATTACTGATGATTGAAGTTTTAACGGACCTATTTAAGGTATTTAAACGTTAAAAGATGGTCTTTAGACTTTCACATTGTCGTTGCTACAGAAAATATTTACAATTTAGACCTACGCTGTTTTTCTTTCTTGCTGGCTTGATTTTCCATCATGTTAACGGAGATTAGCCAAACGCACAAGTCTACTCGAGGTTAGGCGTACGAAATTGGTAAAATGTAGGCCTATCCATCTCCATGGCACAAGACTAGAAGTTAAATAGTATGAAGCCCATGGACATAATTTTGCTTAGCACTAGTGTTGACTTGGTGAATGTGAGATGATCAACTACATTTATTGTTGAGAATGACGCAAAAATGAATAATTCTATAGAAGTAGTAGTAAGTTTCCAGTTATTGTTTTACTGTGCTGACAGCTGGCAGACATTACTTCACTTTGCATTGATCTAAAGGGGGGACTGGTTCGTATCCAGGATTATGCATAAGGGACGGTTTAATATGAGAGCCAGGGTTCAAAGAGGCTCCACCTAGCAGTGGCCTGGGAACGAGCACTCGTAACGATATTGACGGGAGACGAAGCTTTGTGGAGCTGAAGCATCTATAGACGCTAGAATATGGCTTCATAATTTGATTATTTTTTTTAGTGTTTGTGCAAAGCTGGGATGGCTAGGTTTATCAGAGGAAGGTCGTTCGAAAAGGGTGGCTTGGCTGTTTTTGCTAATAGGCCTACTTGATAAACTATCTGCATTGTAAACGTAAGCCGATCTTTGCTATTCCTCAAATCTTAAACAGAAGATATTATAACTGGTCGCGTTAGGCTGTCAGTGGTACTTTGTCAAGTATATATAAAGATTTTTATTGCTGAATTGCTGAATAAATGTAATTTTCTATTAATTAATTTTCTTACTAAATGCAGACTAACTTACTTGAAGCCGCAGATGATAAGGAGAGTTATAATGTGAAAAACAATCGAAATTGCAGCTCCAACGTTTGTAAGAACGGACAAAATCTTGTTCTCATAAATCTATAAAATAATTATAATTAAAATTGTAAGGCTGGATCCAAACAACAAGAGGCAAGGGCTTTGTAGGTCATCTGGAAAATATTAATTTATTAGTATTTAAATGAGCATCAATTCTTGCCTTTTTCGGTTTCATCAGAAGTACGAATGACGTCAAATGGTTGCATTTACATGTCACGCCTCTTACGAAGTAGTCATCATCATAGATCGTCACACAGCCCTCTGTTGACCACATATTTCTGAATTGATAGTGAATATTTTTTATTTTAATACATTATTTTGTGGAGGGTATTAAGAAGGTATTAATGCAAAAACAGAAAATATATTATCTGTTTCCAAATAGTGTTGGTTTTTAGTGGAAGTTTAATTTCTTATTTTATACCAACTTAAAACATGAAAAATATTAAAGCACGTTTAAATATAGACTTGCAAAGATTTATATAGACCAACAAGGTCCACTATAATCACTTCCATAGTTTTGATACTATATTTGATTTGCATCACACACATCATCATAATATTTGTATTTATATTTAATCATTATCAGAATGATTGTTATCATCATCATTATTATTACTGATATTGTTATTTTTATTCAAGACACGTGCCCAACCCCAACCCCGTTTTGCCTATACAATTTAAAATCCCAATGCATATCAATGTTATGTATTGAAATAAGCGCAACTCGATCTATTCTGATAATGTTGTACCCTCACCCCCACCCCATCCCTCCCGTTTGAAAAATTCTGGATCAGCCTCTGTTTTATTAGTATTAATTCTCTCAGTAATGTCATTATCGGATATTAAATTGGCCTATAACATCTAGTACCAACTAACTACTTACGCTGAAGCACTATAGTTTTGTGTAAAATAACATACTGGGGCTTCATACAAGCTTCCTGTTGCTTCAACCTTAAATATTTTGTTTAAAATGAACAAACAAATCAATAGAATTAAAATAAATATTAATTAAAATGCAAAAAAAAAAAAAAAAAAAAAAAAAAAAAAAAAAAACTAGGAAAAAAAAAAAAAAAAAACCAAATAAAACTATTTTTCAG